TCTGTGAACATTTTTAAATTGTAATGCAAATACATCATCTCTAATTTTGATCAGAGTTCTTTTTCAAATATCTCATTTAAGTTTTTTTATACTGTGCTTCAGAATACAATTAATTTATGAAATATGCTTAAAAAACTGCCCTTCTACTCCTGTTAGGATAACTACAAATAGGACTAAGCAGTGACCATTTGGGAAATTGTAGGTTGTCGTCTAATTTTGATCTCCACTATATATATATATATTAAAACAGTTTAATATTTTTTTTAAATGTACTATTTTATTACATATTTTGTGTATGCTGCCTATGCAAAATAAATGACATATTTTGAACACTTTACCTGTAATAATATTAATATATTTACTAGTATAACAAAACATATTCATAAACATCCATATTTACTATATTTACTGAATCACACAATGCAACCAAACTTATCAACTCTTCTTATGTATTTTATTTCTTACATTCAATAATTGGAACACAAGTTTGGGGTCAGTAAGAATTTTTTGAAGGAAGTCTCTTATGCTCACCAATTTAAAATAACTTTTCTTTTTTTTTGTTAATATATTGTAAAATGAAATTTATTCCTGTAATCAGCATCATTACTCCAGTCTCCAGTGTCACATGATCCTTCAGAAATCATTCAACAGTAATATGCTGATTTGCTGCTCAAGAAACATTTATTATTATCAATGTTGAAAACAATTTAATGCATCCTTGCTTTAAAAAAAAAAAAACATCTTACTGACCCCAAACTTTTTGCATATATATCAAGTATCATAAAAAGGCTCAAATATATATATAGTTTTGGCTATATTTCCCCACCCAGGAATAGTGCACTGACAAGAAACCATCACTCAGCATCTAATAATTCATCCTTTCTTTCTGGCACTAAAAGGCTTTTGTCTTCATTAAGAATCTGACATTCTGCATTACACAAATGCAGTGCCACTGAGGGAGCTTTATGCTCAGCTGATGCCTCTGTGGTCAGACAGAAGGATTTGATCTGTGGTCAGTGGTCAGAATGTGATATGTGTGTGTACTGGTTTATATATACTGGTGGGGACTTACTGGTATATATATTTATATATACTGGTGACTACACACAGACTCATGGGGACTCGTGTCACGGTGGGGACCTAAATTGTGGTCCCCACGGGTACAAAAGCTTATAAATCATACAGAATGAAGTTTTTTGAAAATCTAAAAATGCAGAAAGTTTCCTGTGAGGGGTAGGTTTAGGGGTAGGGTTGGTGTAGGGCAATAGAATATACGGTCTGTACAGTAGAAAAACCATTACGCCTATCTCTTTGTACAGCAGTTATTGTTCATTCTAAATTAATTTTTTAATGTAGAATATGTGTTACATAAATATGTAGAACATATAAAAAAGTGCTCGTGGCTCGTCTGCCAGTGGGTGCCCCCCCACACGCACAAAAGTGAAACTCCGCCTATGATTGTGCTGTTACTCCTTTCGAGCCGAATTTCACAAAATTGGGTGTTATTTATTGGGAGTAGAATTATTTATTTATTTCAATGAATGTAATCGATTAAATATCATAATATTTAGGCTATAATATTAAATCCGCGAGACTTGCACTTGGACCATAGTGCGGCCCGGTGGAAAAAAAGGTTGAGAACCACTGGTGTAGGGCAATAGCACATACGGTTTGTACAGTATAAAAACCATTATGCCTATGGGATGTCCCCACTTTTTACAAAAACAAACCTGTGTGTGTGTGTGTGTGTGTGTGTTTATGTGTGTTTGTGTACTACTTAGAGAATGAGCTGGGCCAGACAGATGGCAGGTGACTACAGGATGCATCTCATTTACAGCATTCAGATGAAGGGCTTGACCACACTAGCGATGACCATAGTTTGAATGAGGCCCTTGAATCATATTTGACAGGCTTTTATGACACATCTGTACATATAAACACTTATATAGGTTCACACTTTTAATGTCAAACAGTATAAACCGTCCGCAGGACATGTGTTTTTGATGGATAATTATGTTGGCCTGACATAACATGTTAGCAAGATGCTAAAACATGCTAGCAATATGTTAGAAAATGTTACAGACATGCTTGTATCATGCTAAAGCATGCCTGCAATCTGTTAAAACCTGCTAGAAACATGTTAACAGCATGATAAAACATTCTAGCAATGTGCTTATACATGTTAGAAACATGCTAGCAGAATGCTAAATCACGATAGAAAAATACTGGCAACATGTTATTACATGTTAGAAAAATGGTGACAACATTCTAAATATGTTAAAAACATGATAGCAATATGATAATACATGTTAGAAACATGCTAACAATGTGTTATAGAAACATGCTAGCAACATATTAAACATGTTAGCAAAATGCTAAATCATTTTAGTAACATGCTCGCAATGTGCTGAATCATGTTAGCAATATGTTAATACATTATATTAGAAACATGTTAGCAAAACGCTAAAACATGTTAGAAACATGTTGACAACATGATAAAACATGTTATCAATGTGCTAAAACATGTTAGCAACTTAATACATGTTAGAAAACATGTTAACAATGTGAAAGATCATGATAAAAACACGGTAGCAACATACTTAACATTCTAGCAACATGCTAGCAATGTGCTAAATCGTGTCAGCAACTTAATAGATGTTAGAAACATGTTAGCAATGTACTAAACCATGATAGACACATGCTAGAAACATGGTAACAGAATGCTAAATCATGTTAACAGTGTTAAAACATCTTAGCACCAAGATAATAGAAACATGCTAACAATGCTAAATCCTGATAGAAACATGTTAAATCAGGGTAACAATGTGCTAAAACATCTTAGTAACATAATAATACTAATTAGAAACATGTTAGCAATGTGCTATGTTAGCAACATGCTAGAAATGTGCTAAATCATGATAAGCATGTTATCATAGATACATGCTAGCATTGTGCTAATCATGTTAGTAACATTTTATTGACTTTCACTGAGTAAAACCTTCTGAAGCTTTGTCAACCGGCATCAAATTTTGCGTTCGAACTTTACTCCAGTTAAACACTGGAATTTAAAGTATAGGCCAGTCATGTGAGGTCAAGCTTGATGAACCATCAGTATAATTGAGCGTCCATCCTATCGCTATGTCCAGCTATAACTCAAAAGCGTGATTCGTTGCGAATGGTATCTGCTAATGAGTTTTTAATGGGCCACTCATGACAGATGCAGCAGGGCCCGTGTCCGCACTTCTCAACGTGAGAGTACAAAAAACCCACGTGCTTCACTCCACATACTAGCTCACTAACACACTGTCAGCACTAGTATGCATGCTAAGCATTGCTGCCAGATGCATCTATTAAGACGTATTCTAAAAATACCCGGCTTGGGTCCTGACCTCGCTTTGTGAGGCCACTGAATAATTGTCAGCTAAACAAATGATCTCCCACCAGGGGACGAGTGAAGATGTTGAAGGAGCCGTTTCGGATGAGACTGTGCCTGCTGTCGGCTCACAGGGACCTTGTCTTCATCTAGTGAACTGACTTCACCTGCAAATGAGGATTTATCTCTTTGCTTCTCAGTTTGGTAACGCGAGAGCTGGATGAGATACAGAGATAAAACTCATTAGCTGCGTCTCTCATGTCGGGTGTTTATTTTATCCTCGCGGTGTGAAATGTTTGATGAGATGGATCTCTGGTGTTAGCAGGCACAAGCAGTGTGTAATGGGCTAAAATTAAACACGGTTATCAAAATATTAATTAGTGAGGCAGTCGTGCACAGACATTACAGATATGAGCTTTGGGTATATTAGGATACAGTGTGTTCCGGCTCTTCTGATACAGTTAACTGTGGATAATTAAAGCTATAAAAGACCATGGCTGTGTTCCAAACCCAAGTGAGCTGACTACATAGCCAGCTGACTGAACTGGACCCTCATAAGTGACTGAATGACTCTTCATTTATAAACTGTCATTTATAAATGACAGAAAGTGCATGGGATACTTGACTCATAATTGATTTCAGTAGAGTTTTAAATTAGCATGTTTCTAATTTAATGACCTAATATGCTAATAAGCATAAAATGAACAGTACACAAAATATAAAATAATCAATTCTGAATTAGATTAAAATGTTTTAATAAATATTTTTTATTATTGCATGAAATATTTTTTGTTTGCAATAGAGATCTTTTTGGAAAACTATTAAGGCAGTACCACATTTATCCTTCCTGGAAAAACAAAATCCCATAATGCATTGCAATGGGCTAAGAGAAAAAAAAATCTACCAAAAATCCATTTTAAATTTGATTCAAACCGACTAATTTATGAAATATTTTTTGTGTACCATGTAGTGCTGGGCGGTATGACCAAAAATTTATATCACACCACAGTGCAACACCCCTTTCAAACAGTGTCGCGTTCCGAACGTTGTTTAAGTGACATATACCGGTATTGCGGTATTTTCAAAATTCATATCATAACAAAAATAAAAACCGGTATTCGGTATGAACCGGTATACCGCCCAGCACTAGTACCATGCATTTTTGATTACATTTGCATTTCTGGCTACTGTATAAATCTAATTGTAAATGAAAATGCATAGTACACAAAAATATTTAATAAACTGTGAATTTTGAGTTAAACTCTTTTAATCAATATTTTTCTTTATTGTATGAATATTTATTATTTTCATTTCTTTTTCATTTGCAATAGAAAGATGTCTTTTGGACAAATTCTAAGGCATTTATCCTTCTTGGAAAAAAAAACAAAAAAACAATCCCATTATGCTTTGCTATGAGCTGAGAGAAAAAAAAAAATCACCCAAACTGCACCTAAATTCTGGGACAGCCTTTGTTTTGGGTCTTAACATGCAGTTCACTAGGTTTTGGAGTCTATGAGAAAGCAACAAAATGAGCCTGAATGAGTCAAATGATTATTAAGCCAGTCTTTCTTGGTAAAACCCAAACAGTTTGCAATGTAACTAATGCACACCTTCTCTCTTTCCCAAGACGACCACTCTGATTGGCCTGTTGAAGACGGCGCGGCTCCTCCGACTGGTTCGTGTTGCCAGGAAGCTGGACCGTTACTCTGAATACGGCGCAGCGGTTCTCATGCTGCTCATGTGTATATTTGCTCTGATCGCCCATTGGCTGGCCTGCATCTGGTACGCCATTGGAAATGTGGAGAAACCGTACCTGGAGCATAAGATCGGCTGGCTCGACAATCTCGAGGTGTCCCTCGGGAAGAGATGCAACTCTACTGAGCACTGCTCTGGGCCGTCCATAAAGGATAAATACGTGACCGCGCTGTACTTCACGTTCAGCTCGCTGACCAGCGTGGGCTTTGGAAACGTGTCTCCGAACACCAACTCTGAGAAGATCTTCTCCATCTGCGTCATGCTCATCGGATGTAAGTCTGAAAAACATGTTCTGTATTTACGCAAATAGCTTAAATTCTGTCACCATTATTCACACTCTTGATGTCCCAAACCAATATGTTATTTTTCACGAGAAACACAAAAGGAGAAAGTTTCCATGGAAAAAAAACAACATTACGATGAGTAAATAATGACAAAAGTGTAATGTTTGGAGGAAAATGACAATATATACACTAATAAAAGCATGATGTATGCGTAATAAAAGCAATATATGCACTACCATCCAAAAGTTTGGTTTGCTATTCAGCAAGGATGCAGTTTGAGCAAAAGTGACAGGAAAGACATTTATAATTTTACAAAAGATTTCCGTTTCAAATAAATGCAGAACTTTCTATTTATCAAAGAATCCTGAAAAATGCATAACTCTTTTTCAACTAACTGTTTTCAACATAGACAATAATAATAAACGTTTCTTGAACAGAAAATTCAGATTTGCATCACTGAAATAAATTACATTTTCAAATATATTACAAAGATATTTTAAACTGTAATAATATTTCACAGTATCACTGTTTTGACTGTATTTTTAATCAATTAAATGCAGCCTTGGTGACATCTTTAGAGAAAACATCACCGTTCCCAAACTTTTGAACGGTGGTATACTGTCGCAAAACTTCACAAGGTATAAGAAAACATGTTAAATTAATATTCTTATGATTTTGAGAGGAAAATTTGGTTGAGATGCATGTCCCGAGACGCCTGCACTGAATCAGAAATGACCCAGGCATCTGTAAACTATTCATCCTGATATAACTAATCTCCGTTTCAATCTAGCAGATGAATTCTAATACTTGGAAACAATGCTGAAAATCAATATGTTTATTGTCTTTTCCATTTAAAGACCACATTACATCATCTTTAATCCATGTCTGTCAGTCTTTAGCCCAGCTAGTGTACTGTTAAATGCTGACAAAAATATATTAGAGCAGATTAATTTACTGTAAAACTACTGATGAAAATATTTATGAAATATTAATGAGTCACTCAGGGACAGGTCATGTTTCACGGCTGTGACATAACTAAAGACTATTGGCAGGAAGGCAGGTAATTACGGAAACAAACAAACATCCATTTTAATCTAATTCAAAGTTTACTAAATTTATAAAATATTTTTGTGCACAATGCATTTTTATTTACATTTATGGCGTTTATGCATAAATGCAAATACAAATTTCTGCTATTTATGCATAAATGTATATAAAAATGCAAAACACACAAAGATATTTAATAATACATTTTGAATTTTTTAATAAATAACCTTTTTGAATCAAATTAAAAATTGACTTATTTTGTGCACTATACATTTTTATTTACATTTCTGCTATTTGTGGATAAATGTAAATAAAATGCATTACACAAAGCTATTTAGATAGTACATTTTGAAAGAAAGAAAAAGAAAGAAAGAAAGAAAGAAAGATCCATTTTTTGAATCAAATTAAAAATTGACTTATTTTGTGCACTATACATTTTTATTTACATTTCTGCTATTTGTGGATAAATGTAAATAAAATGCATTACACAAAGCTATTTAGATAGTACATTTTGAAAGAAAAAGAAAGAAAGATCCATATTGAATTAAAAATTTAGTATTTTATTACATATTTTTTGAAGCATTTTTTTAAATGCATAATACACAAAAATACTTAGTCAATATTCGATAGATAGATAGATAGATAGATAGATAGATAGATAGATAGATAGATAGATGGATAGATACATACATACATAAACATTAGATTGATAGATAGATAGATAGATAGATAGATAGATAGATAAACAATAGATAGATAGATAGATACATAAACATTAGATAGATAGATAGATAGATAGAATTCAAAATTGACCATTTTATAAAAAAAATTTCATTAAATAATTTATGAGGTCTTTAAAAATGTGACCGAGGTCCGAGGTCAACAATCTATCCCATCATCCCTCTAGCTGCTAAATAACACCTCATGCATAATATTAATAATAATATACAAAGGAAACACTGCTGATTTGATCTAAATTGGCCTCCACAGGCTAAATGTACCTGGCATTAGCTTTAATCTGTGTGACACTGTCCCGTCCTCTCCAGCTTTGATGTACGCCAGTATTTTTGGGAACGTTTCTGCCATCATCCAGCGGCTGTATTCGGGAACGGCGCGGTACCACATGCAGATGCTCCGCGTGAAAGAGTTCATCCGTTTCCACCAGATCCCAAACCCGCTCAGACAGAGGCTGGAGGAGTATTTCCAGCACTCGTGGACCTACACCAACGGCATCGACCTGAACATGGTGCGTCTCAGGCATCACAGTCTAGTTATTCAACCATTTTAGCCATGGCATTTTCATTGCACATGTGTTTTCCAATCTTTATGTTATCTGAATTGATCCTTCACTAAGATAGGATTGGTCAATGATGTTTTAAGGCAGGGCATTGCATAAGGTCAGTTCAAAACATCATAAAACAAAAAAAATCACATTGTTTTTGTCAGTCTGCTAAGCCAGGGTTTCCCAAACTGGGGTTCATGAGAAGCCAATTAAAGAGTAAATGTAAAATAAAAATTAAATTAATTTTAAAATTAATTTTAAAGTCAAAATAAACTTACACATAATAAAGATTAAATATTTTATTTGTTAGTAAAAAAAATCTATCTATCTATCTATCTATCTATCTTTTTTTCTTTCCATTATTTACTTATTTTAATGTTGTTGTAAACCCACATGCTGTTATTTTTCTGTGGAATGCAAGAGAAATTTCATAGTGACCACATCTGTAAAAAAAAAAAAAACACACCATAAAACAATAATTATCAATAGAATTATCTCATACAACCAGGGTTATTATAGTTAATACAAATGAATAAATAATTTGTATCTAAAATAAAATATAATATTAAAAAACACAAATAAATTTGGAATAAAATACATTTGATCTGAAATAAAATAAAATATTAAAACACCTTAAACATACTTTATGCCAGCTTGATGTAAAGGCAACATTTCCTGTTTTTATAACTAAAACTGAAATAGAAATATAATAAAAAAAAAATTTAAAAAAACTATACACAAAAGCACACAACAAACTTGCTAAAACTTTAAAATGAAAATGAAAACAGAAAACCCCTACTTCAAAATATTCAAAATAATAACAACTATATCTGAAATAAAATAAAATATTAAAACACCTTAAACATACTTTATGCCAGCTTGATGTAAAGGCAACATTTCCTGTTTTTATAACTAAAACTGAAATAGAAATTTAATAAAAAAAATTTAAAAAAAACTATACACAAAAGCACACAACAAAATTGCTAAAACTTTAAAATGAAAATAAAAACAGAAAAACCCTAATTCAAAATATTCAAAATAATAACAACTATAATAGTATCTTAATGATGCTAATATAACATTGCATACAACTAAACGTTTTTGTTCACATTTTTGGCTGAACTATTCCTCTCAACGATCTCTGAAATGTTCATCTGTGTAAATGTGTGAGTGTTTGTACTGAAAGCAACACCTTTCTCTCTCCATGTCTGCCTCATATGAAATGGAACGACCTCGTCGCGCTGGGAAGAGCAGGAGGTATTTATATACACTCAGTCTCAGCTCTAGAGACTCTCTCATGCACATCAGCCTTCACTCTGCTCATCTCAGTTACACAGTGCATCTTTAGCACTCTCCTTCAAGGGCTCTTAGCAGGAAATGCTTGTTACCAAAAAATATTTTTGGGCTGGGAAATATAACTTAAGTTATAATATAACTTATTTTATCCTTTTTTTTCAGCCATTTGATGATATTTTATGCATATCTTTATATTTATTCTTGTGATACTGTCTTTAAAAAATATAATACAATTTTAATAAATAAATAAATAGCCAAATAAAAAGTGCATCAGAATTTCCAAAAAATATATAACCATTTTATGATTTTTTACAGCCATTTGATGATATTTGATGCATATTTTAATATTTATGAAAGAAAGAAAGAAAGAAAGAAAGAAAAAAAAAAGAGTCAACATTATCACAACTCGCAAATAAACAATTTTGGGCTGGGTGATATAACAAAAAAAAAAAGTCTGCCTTTGGATAATATTTGATGCATATCAATATAAATATTTATTCTCAAGATACTTTAAGAAACTAAATAAAAATAATAAAAAATAAACAAATAAATATAAAATAATTACCAAATAAAAGGTGCATCAAAATCATCACAATAAAAAAAAATAATAATAATAATAATTATTGTATATTTATTTATTTATTTATTTTTGTGATACTATCTTTAAGAAACAAAAACAATAATAATAATAATAATAATAATAATAATAATGACCAAATAAAAAGTCTAAAAAATTTATATTTTTGAGTTGGGCAATATAACTTATTTTATAAAAAAAAATTAAAATTCAGCCTGTTTATGATGTTTGATGCATATATTAGTATTTAAAAATTAAACAATAATAAAAAAAAAAAAATCAAATAACGACCAGACCACTTTTATATCCTAGTACTTATAATCATGTGTTTCCAACACAATCAAGTCAATATATTGCAAATATCCAGTATATCGCCCAGCCGCAGCATATATTTTATGCTGCATGAATTAGCATACATTAGATGGGGGTCTATGGCAGCCAATCTGATTTAGATGAGACTCAAAGATTAAAAGTTGCCCTTGTTAAAGCCAGTCTGCTGTTACTAAGAAACTGAATCTTCTCTGTTAGCCATTATTGAACCCTCATTATTTCATCCCTTTTAATTGACGATTGCGCCGCTAATATGAGCACAATAATTGACACTTGGAACATTAGTCTGCCTAGTTTAAAGTCTCTTTCTTGCCACTTTAACCACATGAATACATTGGCAGAAACATCATAATGCAAAATAATTTCATTAGCCGTGGAAAAACACTCTCAACACCAGGACTCTGTTCCAAAACCGAGTGAACTGTCACTTTTAAAGCATCATAAAAACGCTTCTGACATGAAGGCAGTTCAAAAAGGCAGATGCCTCTTCTTTTGGACAAATTTTAAGGCCATAATGCATTGAAAAAGCTGAGTGAAAATGTCCATCCAAATAAATAAATAAATGCTGTTCATTTGAACTTTCTATTAATAAAAGAATCCTGAAAAACAAAATGTATCCTGGTTTCCACAAAAATATGAAGCAGCACAACTGTTTTCAACACTGATAATAATCAGAAATGTTTCTCGAGCAGCAAATCAGCATATTAGAATGATTTCTGAAGATCATGTGACACTGAAGACTGGAGTAATGATGCTGAAAATTCAGCTTTGATCACAGGAATAAATTACATCTTAAAATGTTACAATAGAAAACATTTCACAATATTACAGTTTTTACCATATTTTTGATCAAATAAATGCAGCCTTGAGCAGAAGAGAGTTCCTTCAAAAAAAATGTAAAAATTTACCAATCAGAATTTTTCGAATGGTAGCACAATTTCTTATAATTATTATTATTAGTTTTCTATTGTTATTCTATTTATTTTTGGTTTCACATGGTGAACAGTAAGGCATCTCTCTATGTTTTGGAACGGAGCCCATAACATTACAGAATAACAAAGAGTGTAATTGTAGATAGTGTCTGCACTAATGAATGTACATGCTTTAATCTTCAGTGGTGGAGCTGAAAGAGTGTTTTTCACCTCGAGTGTCACCTCATTCTGGCATCTCTCTGCAGGTCTTGAAAGGCTTTCCTGAGTGTTTACAGGCAGATATCTGTCTCCATCTGAACCACAGTCTCCTTCAGGGATGTAAGGCTTTCAGAGGTGCGACTCAAGGATGTCTGCGTGCTCTCGCCATGCGCTTCAAAACCACCCATGCTCCTCCTGGAGATACACTCATGCACTGCGGGGACGTCCTCACCGCGCTCTACTTCCTGTCTGGAGGATCCATCGAGATACTCAAGGACGATATAGTGGTGGCCATTCTGGGTAAGAGAGCATGAGCTTGTTTTAAAAGAAACACAAGGAAAATTACATTGAATAAAATCCATAATCCATGACTAACAATGCAAGAAAGACTGAGTTTAATAATATATTATATAGTATCTAAATAATTGGATGCAAAATATTTATTGCTGAAATAGTTGAAATATCGCTTCTGCAATGCAGCTCCCAGCATGTGCCTTTTGAACGAAGATGAATTAATAAATTAAATTGCAATAATTTATTAACACATATATTTGATGAATAGAAAGTAAAAAAATAAAAATTTATTTGAAATAGAAATAGAAATAGAAATCTGTTGTACCATTATAAATGCCTTTACTGTAACTATTGATCAATTTATGCATCCTTGCTGAACAAAAGTATTTGTTTCTTTCAAAAATCTTACTGACCCCAAACTCTTGAGTGGTAGTGTTTAAAAGAAACAGCAAGAATTAATATAAATGAAGAGTTCATTTGCAAAAACTGATAACTCAATAATTTTTTTTTTTTTTCAGAAATCACATTTTTTTTATTGCGCATTCCGTAATAATAACTTAAACAAATATAGGTTTTTTTACTAAATTAAAGTTAATTGAAAGTATGTTTTTTTAACATATTAAAAGTTTGTTTTATAGCAAAAGCAGATAACTCCAACAGTCGTTTTTGGCAAAAGCAGATAACTCCACATTTCATGTGTTAGAGTTTTAAAAAACACTTGTTTAATCTTTGTAATCTCCTCAGATGACAACGTAGATGCCTGACAAACGTTGTTGTTGTTGTTCTGATCACAAACTGTATGGATGTGATTACACGCAATACACGGAGCTTTTTCCTCACCATTGTAACGCACTGCTTTTGCAAGGTTCCGTGAAAACGCTTCAGCTTTTATTTTCTTTTCGCCCTGAAGAAGATATCACAGGTTCATCAAGTTCGTCGAAATGATCCATCCTCGATCACTTTTAGTCAGCTTTGACGAAACTCCTCTCAGCTAGCACGTCTTTTCAAAGTGAAAGTAGCCTTGTCACCTGACCTGAATACAGCGCGCTGATTCGCTAAAGTGGACTTATCGGCTTCTGCTCAAAAACAACAAGGGCGCATATCGGCTTCTGCAGTAAAACGTGAACTCCGCGATGCCTTGAAAGTGGACAAAACCGGCTTTTTGGACAAAACGTGTTTAGGGTTCAGATCGCGCTATATGTGGAGAATAATGCATGGCAATCAGCTCATTTTTTTGTGAAAGTGGAGTTTATCGGTTTTTGCAAATGAACTCTTCAAATATAGTTGCCTTTAGAAGAAAATTCAGAAAGTAGATCTCTTGTAACTTTAAAGGCAGGGTAGGTGATTTGGTTCAAAAACATTTTTTGTTATGCTGGTTGAAAGTCTCTTCACATCCCGGTAGCAATCACTAAGTTAAGTGGTCTGCATGTATTTATATCGTCTGTGGAAAGCGTAGGACCATAAAATGTTCGTCCAATCAAAATGTTCGGTCCGAACATTACAATAAGCTGTCCTGCCTGCCTGTCAAAATATATTTGCATACCTCCATGCACCATGTTTGCACAGACAAGATATATCATCAGCGCGTTCCAGTGAGAATGGAAGGTGTTATAATTGTAATATTATGCTCTTTGTACTGTAAAGTTTTCTTACCGGTGAATGAGACATGAGGTAATCTGACAGTGTTGCATTAAATCCTCCACCAACGCCGTCTCTCATCGTGTTGCTGGTTAGTCTCTGGTCTGCCTGTGCGCGGTCATGTGTTTTGGAGGAGGCGTGGCTTTGGAGAGTGATTTGCAGGGAGGGTGAGATCTTATGTTTTCAAATCTATAGCTTGCTATTGCTAGCCTCTCCGAAATCGCCTACTCTACCTTCAACTGAATATTCCTGCCATATATATTAAATTAAGGAATCACTTTTTCACTTATAAAGGACTATTTTAATTAGAGGTAGACTATTTTTAAAACCTTGCATGATTTCTTTGTCTCATTATCTCTCACTGTGCTCTTTGTTTCTTGTGATGGATGTTTGCTGGATGTTTTAGTAAAAGACAGTAGTGCAGTCGCTGTTTGCTGAAAGCGGCCTGCAGACATTAGCACGTCACAGCTGCGTCCTGTGGAGGACTTTCTGCCTCAACATGTTGTTTACCGATGCGGCGGTTAGCAACGCGAGCGAGAGCGGGCACACGCTGTTTCTCCCAGTGGGCAGATGTGCCATTGTCCTTACATGCTTAAACACAGAGAGCCGAGGAGCCTGCCTCCTGAAACCTATACATTATTGTTCTCTCAGTTAAATGTCAAACAGATGAGCATATTCTACAAACAAGCCTGGGTTTCTGCATTGTGTCTCGAACCCGTGTCTGATAAGAAGAGGTTTCTGACATTTCTTTTAAGTGGCTCCCGCTGGATGTGTTTGGCATCTTCAAAGCACTCACTGCACCGGCTCAAAGCTGGAATGGGCTTTTTATAGCTACCAGCCTATAGATTGCAACTGAACATGAAAGAACAAAAGAAAATACTGTAGATTGTAGCTGATCTGAATGGACTGAATACTAGATTACTAGCAGTGGTCGACCATATGGGTTTTTCAATGGCAGATGCTAATACTGATAATTAGATTATGGCTGATATATGCAATACAGGATAATACAATTTAATTAAAACAAATCAAATGCACACATATACACCACCACTCAAAGGTTTGGGGTCAGTAAGTTTTTTTTAAAAGAAATTAATAGTTTTATTTTATTCTGCAAGGATGCATTAAATTGATCAAAAATTAGAGTAAAGACATTTATAATGTTACAAAAAAAATCTATTTCAAATAAATGCTTTTCTTTTGAACTTCCTGAAAATCCGGAAAAAAATGTGTTTCATAAACAATGTTATTTCATTGAGATACTATAATATTTCTTATTAATATGTTTAATTAGTTTTTATTGTTATATTTTCATTTTCATTTTAGTCAAAGTTTTGGGAATTACATTTTTTTAATGTCTTTTTCAGGTTTTTTTTTTATTTTTGTTAATTTTTTTAATATATTTTTTACTTCAGTTTTACTTATAATTTTCCATTTCCATTATACTTTTAAAGTTGTAGTGGTTTTGTTGCATTTTTGTCATTTTTTTTATCAGCTTCTTTCTTTGTTTAGACAAATAACATTTGCATTATCAAAGAACATTATGAATGACTTTTAAACTCTCTCTCTCAAGAAAAAAAAGAAATTCAATAAATAAAACCTCCCGTTATAATCACTGAAGTTGTCAACATTGTGAAATTAATCTTTTACTTACATTCTACGTATATATCTGCACTCTGATGAGAGAATTCACGAGAGAGCAGAATTCAGCCAGCAGGCGCGCGTTTCAGCGATGACTCAACTGAACACCTCTGATTGGCTGATGCATTCATAAACTCAACGGAATCGTGTGTGATTGGTTATAATGCGCACCACTGTAAATAAATAAATAAATAAATAAATTGGCAAAAAGAATTATGATGCAGCATTAGCAGATAATCAACACTTTTCATTTCAGTTTCACATTATTGTTCACCCCCCGGAGCCGTGTGAGACACTTTTTTTATGGAAAGGTGCTTTTTATTTCAGGTCTTTTGAACCGAAGCACTGCAACACCCGCTGAGTGCAACGATAGAGCTTGAAAGATCAAAGACAATTTTTAATATAACTCTGACTGGATTCGTCTGAAAGAAGAAAGTCATATACACCTAGGATGCATCGGGGGTGAGTAAAACACAGCCTAATTTTCATTTTTGGATGAACTAACCCTTTAAGTCACTTTCACTAAGGTGAGTTAAGTAGGGAGAGTGGGAGGGTAAGCTGTCAGGAGCCCATTTAGGAAAAAAGAAGCGAGGAAACGTGTAAAAGATAAATGGTATCTTTGCAGCTATCACTCATCTCGCTAAAACAGGCTAATATATCACTTATTTTACGCTATGTTATTACACATAGGGCAACAACATTATTTTTTCTGTCCAACTAACTTACATAACCAGACAGTAAAACGTGATTTTGTAATATAATGTAATTTTTTTAAATAAACGTAACGTGCTTTTCAGTACCCGACCCTAATAATAACACAAACATTTAAAAAATCTTACTGACCTCAAACCTTTGAACAGTAGTGTATATACACTTAATGTAAATGATTTTTACATGTTATACTCACTAGAATATTTGAAATCAGAAATTGTGCATTAATCAGTCTAAACACAGCACAGTGTAAAACGATTCAATTTAGTGTAAAAATTTAAACTTTTGGCAGTCAAATAAAATAATGTGTCAAAATACAGATGTTAAAATCACAGCTAATGAAAATGGAAGGTTAAGTCATAAGCATTGCATTGTGGGATACGGTATTAGTAGTAGTAGCAAAATACCTTAAAGCAATTCAGGTCACTCTGTGCCCATCTTGGTAATGACCTCGGTGGCTTTTTCAGTCATATTTCCATCTGCTTAAATTGGGAAAGATGAAAATCAATCAAATTTCGCAATAATATCATAAATTGTGGGCTAAAGGCTGCTCTAGATTGAGCAGCCTCAGTATTGAGCGTTATGATTTCTCCCAATCACTGCACACAGATAGTCTGCAGAGTACAAAGGTAGTATGTTATTCCCAACACAATCTTCCAGTCATTTGTTTGTGTATTGAAGCAAACCCCTAGTGTTGTGTAAAACAGGAGCCGTACAAGCTTAACATGTGCAGTTAATGGCAACAGTAATTAGCCTGCACTTTTCAACACTCCTGATGTCAGAGAGCAGCGTGTTTCTGAGCTCCAGCGCCGTTTAAAAGCACAGTTTTCTCATCAGATGAATATCCGCCGGCTGATCCGGTGACATAATAGGGTCAAAACAAAGAACAGCGCAGACGGCCACGGGGAAAAAGTTCTCAAACCTCACAAAGTGACTGTTTATGCTGAAATGCTGTCGAACTTGTGTTGAACCCTGAACGATCGTTTAATAATGTTCTTGGGATCGAAATAGTTGTATCTCGGCCAAATATTGTCCTATCCTAACAAACCATACATCAATGGAAAGCTTATTATATTATTATTAATCTCAATTTCAAAAAATTTACCCTTATGACTGGTTTTGTGGTCCAGGGTCACATATACAGTACATACATATATATATATATATATATATATATATTCAGATAGAAAACAATAGTTTAAAATTGTAATATAATATTTCACAATATTACAGTTTTTTTAATCAAATAAATGCAGCCTTGGTGAGCAGAAGAGACTCTAATAAAATTTTAAAATATTACATACCCTAGACTTATGAACAGTTGTGTACGGTAAGGTTTTTCATTTTTTAATAAATTTCTTTGGTTCTGCAGTAATGAAATGCTGCATCACAGCTGTCATGTCACTCAACACACGTCTTGTTTCCAGATGCACACAAGAATCAATATAGTAAAGGCAGCTATAAATTATTAAGTATATGCAAGGAACACGAGACTAATCACAATTCGGTATACAAACATAGGAAAGAAAGAAGACTGATTGAAATTCAGTTCGCAATTATTACAGTGACATGCTCTCGTAAAATATTCCTCTGTAAGTCAGGCTTTATCCTTACAGTTTCTGAAGTATTAATGTTTATGGAAACTAGACAGGAGAGTTAAGGCGAACATAATCTACTGTTCCACTTAAAGCATTTTAAATCACAAGGACAAGTAAAGTCCTGTATTCTCATGGTTTCTGCAGGCTGTATGAAGGTAAATTTATGTCAATATGTTCTCTAAATGTAAATGTCTATATACTGATTTGTATTAGCAGCACTTCAAAGTTTGAAAGTACAACTTCCAACCAGTGTTATTTTAGTCTCACTGAGATGGTGTTATAGTTTATTAATATTTTTACATTATGTTTGAATTAAATGTTAAAGTTTTAGTAGTTTTATGTTTTTGTCAGTTTTAGTAGTTTTTTTTAATATGTCTATATACATTTTATTCATTTTTTATCTCCGTTTAAATTGTAGTACATCAAGTTAAACTAAATAAAAATAAGAGATGTTGGCTTGGCAATTACCTTAAAAAAAGCAAAAAAAAAAACAAAAAAAAATTATTACAATTTTTGTATGTTTTCAGTTTCAATTTTCAATTTCTGAAAACAAGACTTAATATATTCCATTTGCATCTCAAGTAATGGTATCTTGATTCAAGGACGTTTAGTTATTTGTATTGGAAAATGAGACAGAAATACAGAGGATATATATTTATTTTTTTTTATTTATTTTTTTTGCAGTGCATGCAACATTTAATGCCATGACTTTATGAATTAAAGACTTTCTGCTCAGATTTAAGACCTTTTTTAAGGCCTTGATTTGTGAAAGGGCGAATCAAGATGTTTTAAGATCTTTTTATGTCCAGTAGAAACCCTGACGATGAACCCTTTAAAGAAGGCAAGAGAACAACTAGTTGTTATTCAATGAGGTTATATTATGTTCTATATTAGAACATATATATAAACATATATATATATACATTTTATATATATATATATATATATATATATATATACCGCACAGAAGAAATAATATGCCGCGCACAGGACAGACACAAAAATTAGTTTGATTGAACCATTTGATTGAATTCTAGTAAAGGCAAAATAATTGCTACGCTCAGGCAAAACGCTATAGAGTTGGTGTCACAATAGAGTTAGAACCGGTGAATGCAGTTTACAGGTTTCATAGAAATTATTAAGTGGTGGAAATAGCAGATGATGGGCACAGAATGGTAAAAAAAAAACTCTAAGACATTTACAGTTACACACAGCATGATTTATAATTAATATAATTTCCTGTTAAGTAACACAGCACTGTAAAAAAAATGTCTCAGGTAACCAAGAATGTTCATCATTGATTTACATCAAGGGTCAAAGCAAATATAAATAGCGCAGGCTGTATGAAGGTAAATTTATGTCAATATGTTCTCTAAATGTAAATGTCTATATACTGATTTGTATTAGCAGCACTTCAAAGTTTGAAAGTACAACTTCCAACCAGTGTTATTTTAGTCTCACTGAGATGGTGTTATAGTTTATTAATATTTTTACATTATGTTTGAATTAAATGTTAAAGTTTTAGTAGTTTTATGTTTTTGTCAGTTTTAGTAGTTTTTTTTAATATGTCTATATACATTTTATTCATTTTTTATCTCCGTTTAAATTGTAGTACATCAAGTTAAACTAAATAAAAATAAGAGATGTTGGCTTGGCAATTACCTTAAAAAAAGCAAAAAAAAAAACAAAAAAAAATTATTACAATTTTTGTATGTTTTCAGTTTCAATTTTCAATTTCTGAAAACAAGACTTAATATATTCCATTTGCATCTCAAGTAATGGTATCTTGATTCAAGGACGTTTAGTTATTTGTATTGGAAAATGAGACAGAAATACAGAGGATATATATTTATTTTTTTTTATTTATTTTTTTTGCAGTGCATGCAACATTTAATGCCATGACTTTATGAATTAAAGACTTTCTGCTCAGATTTAAGACCTTTTTTAAGGCCTTGATTTGTGAAAGGGCGAATCAAGATGTTTTAAGATCTTTTTATGTCCAGTAGAAACCCTGACGATGAACCCTTTAAAGAAGGCAAGAGAACAACTAGTTGTTATTCAATGAGAGGTCGAGAAGAGAGCATATACCGCTGACATCATCTGATTCATAATCTCTGCAGAGAGAGCGAGCGCTGATAATCCGCATGCACAGATTCTGACCTAAACTCACCCCGCTTGCACAGACAAGTTTAGAGACACAATGAACATCTGAAATCCCGTGCAGACGCATGCTATCGTATGCAATACAGAGCAACAGGAGCACAGTGTGATTGGGCTTCTGTGACACAGCAGTTGTGCAAATAATCAAAGATTTGTCCAAACATATCATGCATCTGTATACTAGACTTATGATATGCCAAACCTGAATGTGTTCTCCAGGTAAGAATGACATATTTGGAGAGATGATCCACCTGTACGCGAAGCCTGGGAAGTCGAAAGCAGACGTCCGAGCACTCAGCTACTGCGACCTGCACACCATCCAGAGAGAGGAGCTCCTGGAGGTTTTGGACATGTATCCAGAGTTTGCAGATTATTTCCTCACCAATCTGGAGCTGACCTTTAACCTACGGGACGAGAATTCAAAGGTACTTCCCATCAACAGCTAGAAATGATACATACATAATAGATGAAATTATGCATGTTGTTGTTGGGATCTTCTGCTCAGGCCACTTATTCACCAGTCAGTGATTCAGACGGAGAGGAGACCAAGAGCCAAAGGAAGATCTCCTTTAAACGTAAACCATCCAAAGGTGAGAATGATCTATTTATTAATTATATTACACCATGCTACTGTTGCAGAAACTCGAGGGTCAAATGGTTACAAATTCCAGTTTCGGTTCAGATTAGTATGGTAAAAAAAAAACTCTAAGACATTTACAGTTACACACAGCATGATTTATAATTAATATAATTTCCTGTTAAGTAACACAGCACTGTAAAAAAAATGTCTCAGGTAACCAAGAATGTTCATCATTGATTTACATCAAGGGTCAAAGCAAATATAAATAGCACATTAAAGTTGTGTGTGCACTGTACAGGTCTGGTATAAAGAATGTTTTGCTCAGATGGCCGAAATGTCCGGCCAATAGAGAAAAGGAAAATTAGAGGGAACCAAAAATTACAGAGAACATTGTGTGTATATATATATATATATACAAAATTTTGGGTTCAGTTTTTAATGTTCTTTTCAAAAAAAATTCTTCTGCTCACCAAGGCTGCACTTATTTCATCAAAACATTGTAACATTATAAATGTCTTTACTGTCACTTTTGATCAATTCAATGTGTCCTTGATGAATTAAAGCCTTAATTACATCAGAATATATATATATATATATATATATATAGTTGTATGATTTGTTTGAAGAAGCATTCTTGCAGGATAAACTGTTATTTTTTTACAGCTGTAATTGTAATGAACATCTATATCTCTAGTGAGCGCTTAAAACACTGTGGGGACATTTTAAAATGCTTTACGTGGAAAAACACTAAGCATGGTTTAAATGCACTACTACACCGACCAGGGAGAACCAAATTTATGGTCATAAAAACACTCTACTCTGTAGTCCAAGGAGAAAGACAATATATTTGATGTGAAGCATTTTTGACCTCACAGACGCTGATTATAAGGAAACGGCTTAACGCTGCTTGATGTACTGAGACAGTGACTGGAAGTTTTTGTACCTCACTGATCATAAATACTTTCTCTGAGCCCTAAGTGTCTTAGTCTTGTATACTACACTAAAACAATCAGTAAAAACAGCATTTCTGTAATGCTTAATGATTATGCCATAGCCGCTTGTAGACATTGTTTATGATTAATAATCAAGGTTTAAAAGAAATTCTGTGCTACTGCATCATTGCTTTCATACGTTTAACAACGTAAACTACATATTTATAACAGGCTATATGCTTAATGTAAAAATATTGTTTCAGCTTTGTTTTTTTGGCCGTAGATAACGTTGCAAATTTATATAACTTTGTAATAAATTGTTTCTTTTGATGCCAATAATGTTCCATCTATATCAGTCTAATCAATAATCATAGTTTCCAGTTTAAATCTTTTGTTCAGTTTTTCTAAAAGCAAATAACACTCCCTCTAGAAAAAAATAAAATAATAAACAGTTTTGTTTATTTTTGCTTGACAATTTTGGCTAGAAATTATTGTGGGTTTTTATTATTATTATTTATTTATGTATATATATTTTTTTTTTTTTGTACATAACAGAAAATATGATGCATATTTTAATAAGACATCACAATAATCATTAAGGTCTTTCAAAGTTGTCTTTTTTTATAGTAGGTAAACTAAATTAAATATTGACTAAGCAAAATGTTTTTAGTTAAAAATTCTACTTTCATATAAACTAATATAAAACAATAAAATATAAAATATATTGATTAAGTACATCATGGTCTTTATAATAAATTACTTTGTATGAATGATTTTGTCTTTTTTGGAAAATAAATATTTTGATTAATATTAAATCAAAATGTAAGGTTTAAACAGGTTGTTTTTAGTTGTATCTTAAGTGAAAATTCTACTTAAATATTATAGCTAGTTTAGCATTTGTTTATTGTGAAATTAAGATGTAAAATGCAAAAATAAAATAAAATTGACCTACATTAAGTAAAATTTTAGCTTATGTCCAAAGAAAACAAATTGACTAAGTAAAAAATCATTTTACTTTGTATGAATGTTTTTCCATGTCTTTGGGGAAATAAATATTTATGGTTAATATTAAATCAAAATTAAAGGTTTGAATCAAACTGTGAATATAATTTGAGAAAAATGAATAAATTTGGCTGTAACAAATTAGATATCTTTTTTTTTTTTAAAGTAGGTCCAAAGTATAATTTTTCTTCAGTGTACTCTGGAGCTCTTTCTGATTAAAAACATGTTCGGACACTGTTGTTGTTTTCCATGGAGTCTGTCCCAGAACTGATCTCAAGCATGTTTTGTACCTCTGATCGTCCCGTAGGAGAAAGCCTGAAGGAAACAGACAGCGAGTGCAGGAAGGAGCGGCGAGAGTCTCGTCTCAGCTCTAAGAGAAGCTCAGAGGACCGTCACACCTCCAGAGAGGAACAGCAAAGGCTTCTGGGAGCAGGCATAATAGAGTTTCCATCAATACAGAGCTGCACCTCTACACCGGGCTGCAGTCCTCCTGCTGAAGACACGGAGAAGACATATGATGGTGAGGATTCATGTTAGTTCATCTCAGCACTCTCCTTGTTGTCTGTTTCTGTGGCATAACGCTGGGTTTCTACAGCAAATCTGAAGGGACATATATACAGAGTAAAATCACTCCATAAATTGCATCCTAATTCATTCTAAAATGAGTCTCATTTGGCCAGATGCACATGGCTGGGAATTGGAGACAGATGTCAAAGTCAGTCAAAAACAGCGAGTGATGTCAAGTCTAGAGGAACATTGTGCTCATTATGCGGTTTGTTTGTGAGACATCGCTCTCCTGTCTGTTCCCAAAACGCCCATTTTGCTTAATAAAGGTTTTGATGCCCCTGCTAAACTTAATTTTCGGAATTCTTCAAGAACAATCTCTGCCAAAAACAATAGTAGTATGTAAAAAAAAGAATATCGACCTTCACACGTTTTAAAATGCTCTGTATATTCTGTGCTTTCAGTGAAGAAGCAGCAGGCTTTCGGTTTGATGGATGACTTCAAAACAAACAAACCATTGTACATTCGTCCTTAAAACCTTTTTAGACATTGTTGGTCCTTAAAACACTGCTCGACAGGGTATAAAAGGAAAGCAGAGCTCGGACGCTAAAAAAAAAAAGTATTGATCGAATCAGCCTGTTCCTAAATCCAGGCTAAAGCAGCATGATGAGCGAGAGGGAGAGAGAGAAGTAGATGCCATGGTAAAACAGGGTCTTTCAGGAGCTTAAGGCACAGCGCGGGCTGTTTTACAGGCTTTAGGAAAATCCGTTGGGCAGCAGCTCTTCCCTAACTCTCCTCACTGAGCACACAGTGTTCCCTCCTGCGCTACAGCCACGCAAGCTAATGCCCACCAACCACTGCAAAATGACCACCACGTGCACAAACACACTCAACTCAACGTGATTATCATGCCATTGTAATATTAAAGCAATTGTACATCCAAACCCGCGTCGCTGTTTTCAGTATGAATGAGGATTGAGACTGTTAAGCACCAAAAAGGACAAAAAGCACAACAAAATTGTTTAAAAAGTGATCCAACATTGTACGCTATATTTTGGATCTTTTCATAGTCATATGATAGATAGCTTTGTGTGAGAAACAGACTGAAAAACATGCCATTGTTATGATCCTTCTTAATTTTTGGTTTTTAATTCTGCAATTTTGCAAGCTTTATGTAAACTTATGAGTACAACTATATTTAATTATTCCTCTTACCTTTTTATACTGTGAGAAAAATAGTTGTTTTATGCATAAATTATAAAGAGAGTTACATGTTTTTTGGGAAGTTTCACTTTGCACAGGGTTCATCATATTTGAGGATCCTTAAAAACTTGAAATAGTAGAGGAATAGCTCATCCATAAATGTCAATTCTGCAATCATTTACCTTGATGCTGTTTTGGCCCCAGGGTCTGTATTATGAATGAGAATGAGGCTGAAATATTTGGAATGTTTTCATAACGTCATATGATAGCTTTGTGTGAGGAAAAGACCAATTTTGTCCTTACTGAAAATCTCCAATTTAAAGCTGTTCCTGAAAATATAAAAGCCAGTTAATAGTTGTGTATAATTTATTAGTATTTGTTACATGTTGATAAAATTGACAGTCGTGGATAAAGCAAACTGAGCTCTTGCTGTAGGCATGTTCCTTTCAACTCTATTCATGTAATACACATAATACATGATTATGTGCAATACTTCATCTAATTTGAGTGGACATAATAGAGGTCAGGCAAGTTTCCCTGATGATTTAAAGCTGATGCATGTCATTTTTTTTATGTTAAAACACTTTCTTCTATGTCAGTTACTGTGTTAATGTGCAGACCAAAGTTAACTAAAACTAAAACCATAAAATAATTTTAAGTGATTTTAATATTTTTTTTTTATTTCAAGTAACAGAAAGGTTTTTTTTTTTATTTCAGCTAGTTGCCAAGGCAACATTTCTCATTTTCATTTAGTTTATCTAAATGAAGTTTGTTTTTCATTTTAATAAACACAAAAATAACGAAGTAAAATTAAATAAAAATTATTAAGAATTATCATTATTGTTGTTATTTATTTAGTCTAATAAATGTTAAAATTGATAGTTCTCAGTTATACTGTAATGTTGAATGGTTATAGTCAATGGTTAAATATTAGGGGAAAAAAACAATTTCATAGAGACATCAGTAGTATTGATATCAGTGATACTGGCCTTCAGTCATAAAAAAGAGATGCCATTAAACAAATATACAAAATATACTGTCTTTATGTTGTTTCTACATTAATTTGAAGATTGAATGTGAAATTATTGCAATATAAAAGTATATTTAAAAACTTTAATGTTAGGTGGGATTAATAGCGATTAATTTCAGAAGAATGTGCGATTAATTCGTTAATTTTTTAATCGATTGACAGCACATATATATTTGATGGCATATTTAATAGCCAACTTATAGCTAATACTGTACCAATGTGCCATGTTATGTAGTTTTTTATTAATAATAGTAATAATTAATATTATTTTTTACATTAATGGCCATTTTTTATGTTTTTTTTTTATTAAACTGTATATTTTCTATCATCGATTGTAAACGTTTTAATTGATCATTTATTTTACCTGGAAATTATGAATTATTTACACTTGTCTGTTGCTTTTTGATGTCATTTATGTCTAGAGATGCCCTTGATAAATTTACTTATCTTAATCCCTCAAGAACAATCTCTGACAAAAACAATAGTATTATGTAAAAAAAAAAGTATATCGACCTTCTCATGTTTTAAAATACTTCTATTTTGTGCTTTCAGCTTGATGGATGACTTCAAAACAAACAAAGCGTTGTACATTCGTCCTAAAAACTTTTCAGTTAGTCCTTAAAACACCGCTTGACAGGGTATAAAAGGAAAGCAGAGCACAGACTCTTAAAAACAAGCATTGATCGAATCGGTCTGTTCCTAAATCCAGGCTAAAGCAGCATGATGAGCGAGAGAGAGAGAGAAGTAGACGCCACGGTAAAACAGGGTCTTTCAGGAGCTTAAGGCACAGCGCGGCCCGTTTTACAGGCTTTAGGAAAATCCGCTGGGCAGCAGCTCTTCCCTAACTCTCCTGAACGAGCACAAAGTGTTCCCTCCTGCGCTACAGCCAAGCAAATCACTGGAAAATGACCTCCACGTGCACAAACACACTCAACTCAACGTGATTATCATGTCATTGTAATATTAAAGGAATAGTTCTTGAAAAATGTTTTATTCTGTAATCATTTCCCTGCATGCCTTTCTGAGCCCGGGACGCTCTTTTCCATATGAATGAGGAATGAGACTGTCAAGCGGCAAAAAAAAACAAATTATTTTAAGAGTGGTCTATACCAATCATATGCTATATTTGGAATGTTTTCATAAAGTCATATGCAGTGTTGGGGAAAGTTACTTTTAAAAGTAATGCATTACAATATTGCGTTACTCCCTAAAAAAGTAACTAATTACGTTACTTAGTTACTTTTTATGGAAAGTAATGCGTTATATTACTTTTGCGTTACTTTCGCGTTACTTTTTACATATGAGCAGGGCTTGATTGTTTTTAATATAAGAAGTTCTATTTATAGCAAATATAAAAGCCCTTTCACACCAAAAAGTGTAATGAATAAACCTCAGGCTGAAGGAAAAGTAAATTCACGTCTGTACAGTAGAACGCAGGAGAAGAAACACTCTTCAGCAATAAAAAAACAAAGCACAATTGTTAGTTTCTCTAAAGTCATTTTTGCTTATTAGTATGGTTGAACTGGATCATCAAAGGTCAGCAGCAAAGATATTGGTTAATAAAATGGGATTAGATACATTTGTGTTATTTAACATTTAATTATTGCAGGTTTGCGTCATATTCTGAGTTTGCATTTCACTGTTTTAATTCATTTTGATGAATACTAAATCTGTTTTTTGTGAGTGGGATGAATTAATGCACATTCACATTTAGTCTAGAACTACAGTAGCATCATGGTCACACAGCGCACACAACGCCTCTATACTCCCGATTTCTCCCAATATGGGGACAGGAGACTTGTCAGTCAATAAATGGGAAAACAAAGTAACTGGCATTACTTTTTTGAAAAAGTAACTCAGATATTTTCTTGTAAATTAAAAAAGTAATGCGTTACTTTACTAGTTACTTGAAAAAAGTAATCTGATTACGTAACTCGCATTACTTGTAATGAGTTACCCCCAACACTGGTCATATAATAGCTTTGTGTGAGGAAAAGACCAATTTTGTCCTTACTCACTGAAAATCTTTCCTCCATGGTGTGGAGGCACCAAATTAAAAAGCTGTTCCTGGAAATATAAAAGGCAATTATAGTTGTACTCATAAGTTTACACACACCTTGTAAAATCAGCAAAATATTAACAATTTTAAATCATACATTTTAAAAAGCATAAAAATCATTTTAAAAATTACAAAAGAGGGATCATTAAAATTGAATTTTCTTTAAAATTACTTTTTAAAATACTGCCATAAAAAAGCCATGTCAGCATTTTTATGTCCATTCATATTATTTTTAACTTGGTGGCAACATTAAAGGGGTCATATGATGTTGCTAAAAAGAACATTATTTTGTGTATTTGGTGTAATGAAATGTGTTTATGCGGTTTAACACATTATTTTCCACATACTGTACATTGTTGTTACTCCTCTATGCCCCGCCTTTCTGAAACGTGTCGATTTTTACAAAGCTCATCGGTCTGAAAAGTGAGGTGTGCTCTGATTGGCCAGCTATCTAATGCGTTACGTAGATATGTGGGGGCGTGTTAGAACGAGCCGTTTTAGGTAGGCGTGGCTGACTCTTAACTTTTATAAAGAATATCTCTTTGGATTTGAGACTTTAGTCTTTGCAACTTTACAGATCTTCTTTATGCACCAAGAGCTTGTAACACTTTAAAGAGAAAGGAAAAATTGAAATCGTATGATATGACCCCTTTAAGTGTCAACCTATAGTTAATATTACTACAGTACCAATGTGCCATGTTAATAAAAGCCATTTACAATTGTGCTCATAAGTTTGCAGAATGAGCAAAATATTAATACTAAATCATACATTTTAAAAAGCATAAAAATTACAAAAGAGGGATCATAAAAATTGCATTTTGTTTGAAAAATAATACTGACATAAAAAGATTATTAAAAATGTAATAATTAAAAGATGCATTTACAGTAGAATTTTTTTTATTATAGATATTAAATATTATGTTCAAAAATATAATTTAGCACAGACTTTCAGAAGCTAGATATTTACGTTTCCCAAAAGACAAAATAAGTACAGATTACAGTGTTCATCAAGGTTTTTTTTGTTTTTGTTTTTTTTACATTACAACATTACAATTGTATTTCATTTTGCAAACATGCAAATAAAAAAAGACTGGTGCATATACAGTTTTTAAATATAAGGGTGAGTAAATCAGATAATTTATTTATTTATTGCCTGAACTATCCCTTTAATACAGTAAATACATAATTTATTATCAGCTTTAGTGTATGTTACATGTTGGTACAATTGCCAGTCGTGGATAAAGCAAACCAAGCTCTTGCTGCAGGCATGTTCCTTTCAACTCTATTCATGTAATACTCATAATACATGATTATGTACAATACTTCATCTGATGTGAGTGGACATAATAGAGGTCAGGCAAGTTTCCCTGATGATTTAAAGCTGATGCGTGTCATTCTTTAATGTTAAAACACTTTCTACCTTCTACCATTACCTAAATGAAGTTTGTTTTTAATTTTAATTAATACAAAAATAACTAGAAGTATATTTAATAATGATCATTTTGTTATTTATTATTCTAAAATGAATACATATTTGTTTATATAAAAACTAATAAAATGACAAACTTGTTTTATTAAAAAAATAACTAAAATTAAAATGAAAACTGAAAATATAAAAAAATATTTAAAATATTAATAAAAACTATAATAGTATCTCAATACTAAAATAACACTGGTGCAGACGCAATTGTAAGGAAGGCTGCTTTTTGTAGAGTACAAATGCTGTGGCGCTTTGGACATTTTAAGCTCATCTATATGCTATTATACTTTTAAAATAAGTTTTAGCAGATTTATACACATTTAAAAGGTCTCTTCCAGGATAGTATACCAAAACAATTGATGCTACTTAGCTTCAAGGCTTTGAAAATGCCCCAACCTCCCCTTTTAATCTGCACTTTTCATGGTGCTTTTAAAGGAACGCCTCGCCCATCGCCCTGTGCTGGTCGTGTCAGGCGTCTTCTCCGTCTCCGACCATCCATGAAGGTGAATCTGTACCGGAGGAATCTCATTTCACTACACGGCCTCTGATCAGACAGAAATTGGCCGCATCCGCTGTGATCAGCGTGTGCTTCTGGCTCTGGTAGGAGCAGGTGTGTGTGAGAGATAACCATTGGCTTTAGTGTTTCTATTAGTCCTGAGTCTCACCGATAGGAAAGTCACAGCAATATAACACCAATACAAGCGCTAACACAGTGACAGCGGCCCTTTACACGCACCTGAGATGCCAACAATTTCTCGGTTTCTTCCTGTACAGCATCATTCTGCTTTTCCTATGAGCCACAGGTGTGTTCTGAGGATCGCAAACAACAGGGAAAATCAATGCGAACTGAAAATAAAAAATGCAATAGTATAATCATATATAGTTAAGATAAATAGACTTACCATCATTTTGACCTTATAAAGCCTACTTTATCATATCTGATACCAAGGAACATTTATTTGTTCATCTGTCAATCATTGTTTTGCATTGCATTATGTTTTGAAAATAAAACTACTCATTTAAATATCATCTTACGAAGACATTATTGGAGAACAAATGATATTTATATCATTTTATAAACATTTTATGGCTTTATAAGGCATAAAGGCCTGATGCATTAAATAAACAAAAAAGTAAAAACTGAATGAAATAATGAAAAATGAAGTATTATGTTGCAACACTTGGATGTGAACACAAATGCATGTGTGCATTTAATACCTGTTTTAGATATCCAGACTGAGGGATGGTTAGCTGACAGTGTGAAAGCAGACATGGAGCAGGCCGGCACTGAAGATGATGATCTGGACTGTGACGTCACGTATGGAGAAGTGGAGCAGAGACTAGACCAACTGCAGAAACACCTGAGCAGGTAAAACCCAGATCAGGCTTCATTAGGAAACAGCTCTGGATGAGCCATACTGCACTGAAAAGGATTCTAAACACAGACTTGTGATTGCACGTCCTATATTAATGCTTATGCTGCTATGGTTGATTTTCTTAAAAATGGGAAGTGAATGGATGGAAAAGTGGCCATTGCATACCAGGATTGAGCCAGATCAATGACCAGGAACAGGAATTTGGGGCATCAGCTGAAAAAGAAAGTTTCATAGGTGGAGCATCACTTAAATTAATTTAGAATTTTGACTTAAAATAGAAATTAAATTACATACGAGTCATGCACAATATGTATGTGCATTATTAATGAAGTAAAAAAGTCTTTTGAAATAAATAAATATATTTTCACCATTATGACACAACACTGTTACTGTAAATTATAATAATTGAATTATTAAAATTAATGTCATCATTTTAAAAATACATTAAAATTATATAAATATATAATCATATAAACAAGTATTTTTTAAAAATGTATTAAATTTAACAATTTCATTAAATGAATAAAATATATAAACAATTATTCAAACAAATTTAAAATGACTTTCAATTCATGCTGCATTGCTGTGCAGCATTAAATAAATGATCTTGATTTATTTTGATCATATTAGTAGCGTCCCTTCAGTCACATAAGTATATTTAAGAAACATCTGAAATGGTGAAATACTGTTTGCATCTGTGAGAGCTGTGAGAGTCTTCCGGTGCATTACACCATGTTTCCAGGGGATACGTACACTACAACAAATTACACTAACCACATGCATGCCTGCAATAAACATTACTAAACAAAACATTGCTTGTGGTTATCATTCACATGCACAAGAAAATTAACACACAGACACACACACACACACACACACACACAGTGGAGCAGCAGGGTGAGCAGAATCACACCAGGTGGTATTTTTAGCTGTAACACTGGCTTACAGAGAAAGACGCACCAGGCAGCAAAAATCCTGCATCAGCTGAGCTCTACATTGCACATCTTCAGAATCAGGCGACAAGCTGACAAGCACAAGTACAGGTCATATTCAACCACAAAATCTAACGTGAGGTTTTATTAAAAACAATGAAGCCTGTTTTTGGACCAATACTACTTTATTTTATTATTATTTTTTTGCATTGTGACATTATATTCAGGCACATTTTCCTGGAAAATTTGAATGACAGTAATGCAAAATACACACACACACAATATATTATTTTGCATTATTACACACACCCACACAGATAGATAGATAGATAGATAGATAGATAGAGAGAGAGAGAGAGAGAGATAGATAGATAGATAGATAGATAAAGAAATCATTTTGAGTCGGAGTGTTTTTGGACTGCGTGTGCATGAGAGACAGAGGGAACACTGCCAGCCTGCAGACTCCAAGAAAGGAGGGATCGTCTTATTCCTTTGTTTTCGGAGAGCTCCAGTTAATGACTCTCTGTTTTAATGACTAGGTGTGTCTTAAACGCAGATTAAACCTGCGCCGGCTTATTGAACACTTCATTTGAACTCTGATCAACCCTCATATCACACCGCTGAACTACAAATGATACTCCCTCCACCCGCACACGTCCATTACCTGGATGGAAAACGAACATGCCTCCTCAAGCTTCACCTGTCAATTTTTGAGGAGTGTTAATAATGAAAGTGGCTGCTTCTGAAATGTTCATGAAAGGCCAGCTCACGGTTTCTATCGAGTATTTATGCTTGAAGCCTCACAGGAGCAGAAATGCTGTTGTATTGCGGTCATCTCTCTCTACTCTGCCCTACAATCTAGGTCATCAATAAGTTCATCATGAAAGTTTAGCAGGTAAAATGATGAACTGGAAATAAGTATTCAGATGTCAGATCAGTGCAAGAACTCCCCCTGCTGTACAACAACAGTCAACAGCCATCAACTGTGGACATTAAGTCAAATATACAGTATTAAGGCATCATCATTAAACTGCTAAATGAAGACCTTACCCAATTAAAGACATTTTACTGCAATTATTTTCTGTAAAGTACTTTGAAAGTAGCATTTTGCGAGAAGTGCTATATAAATAAAATAAAATTTTATTAAATTATTTTTCTTCTGAGCTGAACTCTTTGCTCATTGCTCAGAGTATTTAACTTAATATTTATTTTAATATTTATATTATTATTTATTCAACCAAGAATGAACAACTGAACTGCTACATGAAGAGCTTACAGAATTAAAGATTTTTACTGCAATTATATAATTAAAACCAATAGTTTGATGTCATTGGTCATATGAACTATTTTTATGATGACTTTATGTGATTTTTTTGTTTTGTTTGGTCATTTGCAGCCTGTAAGATTTTTCAAATGTTTTGAAAGAAAACTCTTCTGCTCACCAAGGCTGCATTTATTTGATGAAAAATACAATAAAAACAGTAATATTGTGAAATATTATTACAAATTAAAATAACTGTTTTCAATGTGAATATATTGTAAAATCTAATTTATTCCTGTGATCAAAGCTGAATTTTCAGCATCATTACTCCAGTCTTCAGAGTCACACGATCCTTCAGAAATCATTCTAATATGCTGATTTGCTGCTTGAGAAAAATTGTGAATAGAAAGTTCAAAAGAACAGGATTTATTAAAATATTTTGTAACATTATAAATGTCTTTACTGTCATTTTTGATCAATTTAATGCATCCATGCTGAATAAAAGTATTAATTTCTTCTCTTTTTTTTTTAATGCATAAATGATTTTCATTCTGTCACACAGAAGTATGTTTAAGTTGAGTTTTCTCACAGCGCTCTGGTTCCTGTCTCACCAGGTTAGAGTCTCAGATGACATCAGACATTCAGAGAATCCTCCAGCTGCTGCAGAGACAGACGTGTTTGGGACCTCCGGCCTACAGCAGCCTCACAGCCGGTCCCGAGAACAAGAGAGCAGCCATCAGAGTGCAGCCCGTCGCTTCTGTTCCCACCAACCCACAGCACTGCACAGCACAGGTGCCTTACACAAACCTAAAGATGAGAAACATAGTTACAGTACATACTTGAGGTTTCCATGGAGTTTCTTGACTTATGAATAATTAATTTTTTGCTTTAACAAACATATTTCACTTCATCTGAAGTATGCATTTGAATAATTCAAATATTATAAAAATTCAAGCTAAATATTTTAGCATCTATATATAGCGTAAGAAACTATAAAGAATTTGAAAAGTGCATATTTTATGTCCTGATTCTCTTAAGAGCACTGAGAACTGTTTACTGTCACATCCATATATGTGTTATATCCTGACGCTCAAATGAGATCACATGATCAGCTGTAGACCGTCACCTACTGCAGACTTTCATTATTTTTCATACATTTAACATCAGCCTTGGGTAATCAGTCAAGGTCAGCCTAAAAATACAGTGGGTGTAAATGGGGATTTTTTTTGTTTGACATGTTAAGAAATGTTGAAATGAATAAAATATATATTTAAAAAAAACTTCAACTCATTGTAATTCAGTTAGTTACCAAGGAAACATTTCTCATTTTCATTTAGTTTAACTTTATGTTGTAAAATAACTAATGCCAAAACTGAAATAAAAAATAATAAAAACTATATAGACATATTAAAGGGGTCATATGATGTTGCTAAAAAGAACATTATTTTGTGTATTTGGTGTAATGAAATGTGTTTATGCGGTTTAAGGTTCAAAAATCACATTATTTTCCACATACTGTACATTACTGTTTCTCCTCTATGCCCCGCCTTTCTGAAACACATCGATTTTTACAAAGCTCATCGGTCTGAAAAGCGAGGTGTGCTCTGATTGGCCAGCTATCCAGTGCATTGTGATTGGCCGAATACCTCAAGCTTGTGATGGAAATGTTACGTTTTAGTCTTTGCAACTTTAGGGATCTTATCTATGCACGAACAGCTTGTAACACTCCAAAGAGAAAGGAAAACTCATATGACCCCTTAAAAAAAAAAAACTAAGAAAAATGATAAAAACACACAATATAAAAATATAAATGAATTTGAACTATTAATAAAAAATAAAATAAAAAAAATTATATATATATATATATTTTTTTTTTTCCCTCTTCTGGTGCTAAAGACATAAATCAGTTGCTGTGTTGATTAAATCAGGATAAATTGGTTACTTCAGAGATTAGATGTTTCATTTCAATCATGATGCACAACACTGAACTACACATTCAAAATGTCCATTATCACCAATAAATAATGTTAAAAAAATCCCTCTTTTACAGGATGCTGACTTTTTGGCCATGACAAACATCCATCATAACCCCAAAGACTCTCTGTCAGGTCTGGCCCTTATGGACTCCAACCCGAAGCAGAGCCACGGGACACGGTCCTCACCAGACTCCAGCATCACGTACCGCTTCACAAACAGCCAGACTCTTCCTCTGACACGACAGCAGTCCAGATCCCTGCTTCCAGACACCACAGCAGCTCTGGAGCTCCACAGACCGCCGTCTGATCCAGGACTGCACTGACCCGCTCCTCTACCGTAGGGAAAGTCCAGGACGTCCCACGGCTCTTCCAGACCTACTTTGAAGCATAAAGGACATTTTAAAACAGGCATTGGCCAAAACTGTAACACTAATGCGACTTAGGATTCACCACTGGCTCTCGCCTGTACATTTGCTTCCTCTTCCTTCTCCTGCGTTACGCTCCTTGATGCTGTCGAGGACAATTTGGAACGGATTACACTTCCATTTTCAGGAAGTCAATCTCTTAAAGACATTTCTTGGAGTGTCTTGGACACTTTTCCACATACTCTGTGTTCTGCACACTTTTACACTGGTGTAAGACTCAGGACATTGATGGTGGTTAATTTATCATACTGGCAGAATCTCTTCCCTGTTTTATCATTATGAATCTAAATTATAATAATGGCATTTTACACTTCCATTTGCAGAACCCTGTGGAATTACCTAATTACATACAGTGTGGTCCACTATTTTATTTTATTTTTTTGCATTATTTTCTAATTTAATACAATGTTTTTCACTACAGTTAAACAGTATGTTATACAAAATATTTGAATATTTTTTTTTAAATAAAAATATATATTAATTTGACAAAAATAGCATTTCAGTTGACAATATTATAAAAAAAAACTGCAAGCATGTCAAACATACACAAGAAAAAAATTAATAAATACATATACATTTTTATCCATTCAGTGCATTATGAAGTAAATTAATTTTATATTAAAGTTTCATGTAAATTTAAAAAAATATACATTTTAAATTTTCAATGAGCTTCAGGTTTTGGATCCCACTAGTGAAAATTATTGTTTATATTTATATTTATCTTATTATAATTATAAATTATAATATTTATATTTTTTTATTTATATTATATTTATTCTTTATTTATATATTTTTTTTTTTTTGCATTATTTTCAAATTTAGCACATTTTTCACTAGAATTAAACATTGTTACACAAAATATTTTGGACCAAAAAATGTATTTGACAAAAATAACCTATCAGTTAACAAAATCATGAAAAATAATGCAAATATATATATAATCAGTATACAATTTGAGTGAAAAGTTAAATTGCAACATACATATAAATGTGAATTTTTATTCATTTATTCCTTATGATGCAAATTCATTTTACATCATAAAATTTCATATATAAATAAAAAAAGGTTTTTAATGTTCTCTCAGAGTTTGGACCACACTGCAGCAAAATATTGGTTTGTTTGCAATTTTTATTTATTTATCCTTTTTTTTTTTTTGGAATCTTAATCAGCTGCCATGTACATACATGATACCCCTCTATTAAATGAAAAGAGATGCATGGCTGAAGGTTTTACATGTTGCATGTTTACTGCAACATATTGGGAAGCAGGTTTACTGTATGTCGGCATGTTTCAGAGCTAATCACTGAATGCACTCCTCTCTAATCGACTAGGTTTCTTTGCACATGGTCATGCTAGCTTGAACCAAACTCTGCACGGCATAAAACAATGACACTGATCAGCTTCTCTGCAAGCACGGGCGTACAAGACGGCCTCACATGTAATAATAATAACAACATGGAATTCAAACATACTTTTTAATGCAGCTAAACTGTATTTACACTGGAGTCACAACTGTGGGATATAATGAATCATAGACACTCAAATCTATCATCTGTCATTCAAACAGATGCACAGAAAATATCGTAGCGGAGCACAAACACAAGCATTCGTGTATGATGTCACTGCTCCGTTTGCAAAGCACATGTTAGTCTCATATGTAGCTATGAATATTTATGCATAACAGAATATGTACATTTATCAACTTCTGGTTAAAAGCTACAATAATGTTGGCTTCATTCAAAATCTTCTTACAACAAAATCACTTTGTTTTCCAAATGTTTAGTCTAGAGAAGCTTCTGTCACACATCCTGCTAGCAATACTGAAAAACACTGGATCTTTACACTAAAGGGTTGATTTGCGGAGTTGTGTTGAAAAGATTGTAATATTCACTGCCTAACATCATAATCTGAGGGGACATTTTTGCATCAGTTTAAATTTTTCCAGTAATATACTGGAGTTTTTTTATGTGCAATAAACACTTTCTTAAATTACTTTTTCAAGATTTTGCAGCTTGATTTCAAAGTTACAGCTTTGATTTGAGCTATTTTATTTATGTTTATTTTTATATGTCACTGTAAACCACTGTATGTTGGATTACAAGCAAACAATCTAGTGAATTGAATCATTATCAGATCCAAACAAATATCAAGTCTGCAGATAAATGCATTAAATCTCACTGGAATACCATTCATTTCTGCATGAAGGGATGATATCTGCACTTTATTTTAAAGACTCCATGCCCTTATAATAAATATTACCAACTCTGCATGAATGTGAGTGCGTATGAGTGTGTGTATGTGTCCGTCTTTAATTTATATGTGGCATGTTTTGCTGCATAAAAATCATATATTTAAGACCGCCAGAAGCAGAGGTGGCGTCTTTATTTGGACATATATTTAAAACTGTTAATAACACTGCAAACGTTTGCACGGAACACTTTTACTTTTTATCCCAGTGTTTCCACTTGGACTGACTTTTTTTTTTTTATATAGTTTGCACTGTATAGTTTATACACCACAATACTCTACAGGTGTTTGGAATGTCTGTTATTTAAAGATTTATTTATTATATATATTTGATGCATTTGCTTTAGGCAATTACTTTTGACTAACTGTATAAAGAAGTATATAAATAAAAGCAATGCATATCAGTTTTGCGCTCACTGTTGTTCCTGTGGCTGTTTAATTTATTGAGTATTTATTGAATTGATTTATTTACTGAGTCAATTTATTTTTTAAGAAGGAAGCACTTAAACATAAAATTAAAAATCATGAGTAAAACATTTGCTGGTCACTGGTGCAAAATAAACCTAAGAAAAATAACAGCACTTCTATAAACACCTGCTTGTCCATATGCAGTGCTATTTATATTTATTAATATTTTGACTTTTTTTATATTTTCAGTTTTTATTTTAATTTTAATTTCAGTCCACTTGGACTGACTTTTTTTTTTTTTTATAGTTTGCACTGTATAGTTTATACACCACAATACTCTACAGGTGTTTGGAATGTCTGTTATTTAAAGATTTATTTATTATATATATTTGATGCATTTGCTTTAGGCAATTACTTTTGACTAACTGTATAAAGAAGTATATAAATAAAAGCAATGCATATCAGTTTTGCGCTCACTGTTGTTCCTGTGGCTGTTTAATTTATTGAGTATTTATTGAATTGATTTATTTACTGAGTCAATTTATTTTTTAAGAAGGAAGCACTTAAACATAAAATTAAAAATCATGAGTAAAACATTTGCTGGTCACTGGTGCAAAATAAACCTAACAAAAATAACAGCACTTCTATAAACACCTGCTTGTCCATATGCAGTGCTATTTATATTTATTAATATTTTTATATTTTCAGTTTTTATTTTAATTTTAATTTCAGTTTTAGTATTTTTATGTGCCTTTGACATTTTTATTCGTTTGTTTTGTTTGTGTAATTTTAGTACTCCAATATAAACTCATTTTATTTCAGATAGTTGTCAAGGCAACATTTCTATTTCCTAGGTTTTGATTTAAGGTTTTGAAGCTTGCGAAGCCTTCAATCATTTATTTCAGTTTTACTTCAATTAACAAAAATGTTATCTAGTAGTTTCAGTTTTGGTTAACAACAACAACACCGATGAGAAATGCCCTGCATGATCCATAAGGACATTTGATTTTCAATTTTATTAAATTATTAAACAAATTATTTTTTTTAAATGTTGCAGATTTATGAAACTAATGAAAATCCCTGCTTAGTCTAATTCCCTTCAAAAAAAAAAAAAAAAAGATTGCGTAGAAACAATTTTCACTCACATTGCTAGCAAATTTAACAACTGATTACAAATAAACAGCAAAAGTATTTTCTTGTACAACATAATGCAATAATCTTTTTTGTTTATGGCTTTGAAAAAAAGTTACAAATTACAGTGTAGTGTACTTAAAAATAAACATTTCTTACTATTTCAGATTCAATCACATTCAAAAATTTTTTTATATTAATAACAATTATTATTATTATTATTATCAAATTAATAAATAAAAAGTGTCTGAGCTCAAACAGACCATATTTCTGAACATAGAACTAGAATTAAACTTAAAATGTTTAAGTAGAAAGACTAATATTGTATTTTCTTGTAAAATGTACTCCAATAATCTTTGTAAAACATAATGCAATAATCTTTTTGTTTATGACTTTGAAAAAAAGTTAAATTACAGCATAGTGTACTTAAAAAATGTTTACTTTTTTTTTTCTTTACATTTCTTACTATTTCAGATTCCATCACATTCAAAAAAGTATTATATTAATAACAATTATTATTATTAAATTAATAAACAAAGTGTCTGCGCTCAAACAGACCATATTTCTTAACATATCATTTTATAGAACTAGAATTAGAACGTAAAATGTTGAAGTAGAAAGACTGATATTGTATTTTCTTGTAAAATGTACTCCAATAATCTTTATTTACAACTAAGAAACATTTTTACAGTGTAAAGATTTAATGATTTTTAATAAAACAAAATTTTCTGCATTACATAATCAACCAATATTCAAAAATATTATATTATATTATATTATATTAATTATATTCCGGTTTGGCATAATGTATTCTGTCTTCATCTAGTGTTTATTTGTTATTTGGAAAAGTGTTCATATTTTAATATGGCCGCAAAGCTGTCGTTCTATCAACAGGCCTAAAATATTTTTCGATAAATATGTTTTTCTTAATTTATTTGGATCTAGGCTATACAATATTGACAATGTTTGCAAGACGCGTCGCATATCTGACTGATTACGTTTGAAAACCAAGACGAGAAACGAAACTGAAAGTAAACAAGTCCGGGGAAATTGACTCCGGCTCTTATAAACGGGGCTCGGTGAACTCCGGCAGAACTGCTGACGGATCTTTCCAGCGATATCTTATCAAAATGAGCTGCGATCAGGACGCCGAGACGAGTCATGCGCTCGGCTGTTTCAGGGACAGACTGAAGCGGCTCATTCGGGTCGAGCCACTTCTGGATCTGCTGCATTTCCTCGAACCAGATCGAAAGGACCGGATTAAAGCTAAATTCCGCGAGGAGGGGGACATAAACGCCGCGGCGTTTCTGATTGACGAGATTATTCATTCAAAAAACTACGAACAAGGATGGTCGAGAGAGCTGATCACCGCGCTGGAAACTGTCGGCTGCAAACACGCTGCAAAGTACGTGCTGAACAGCCCACCGGAGCCCACGGAAGAGGCCGAGAACGACAGCTGCGTCCGGCTGATCGACCTCCTGCAGCTCACGCTGGTCAGCATGAAGACCGGAGACGTGTGCGCACACTGCCGCGCGCTGGGGCTCCTGACGCTGGAGGACCAGGAGAATGTCAGTAACACACTCTCTTATCAGATCAGGG